GGCGCCTTTTGTCCAAACACAGGACGTGCACTACCACTCCCCTCGCGCTGCTTCGTGTGCACTTCCTAAGGGGATATGTGTCCATAGAGCAAGAAGATAAAAAGAAGCCCCATGCGGCTACCTTCGTGCAAGCCCTGCACGAACGGGCTTGGGAAACACTTGTCAACAGAGTCACCCGAAGGGGCTACAATGTAGCAACCAACCAATTTCGAAAGGAGAGAGAAGCAAGTGCAGAAATTGATTTCTACCACACAATTGACCAGTCCAACCCAGTGGAAACACCCCCTGAAGCAGGGCAGGAAATCAGAGAGCAAGCTCCAGCGTCTAGTCACCAATAAGGTCGGACCGCCGCACAGGCGCTTCTGAGTCGTACGAGTACTATTCACTTGCTAACTGCAGTTCAGTAGGGCCTGAGGCGGTATCCCAAGATGCTGTCTGATACTGTCCGAACTAGAGTGCAGGGGTACTATAACGTAACAGCTGTTGTCACTGGGAGTAGCAAGATGCCCATCATACCGTGGTTAAAAACACATGCTGCACATGACAGAAATGACAGAAATGGAAACCACTTCGACCGACGCCCAGCCATCGGCTCAAGAGGTTGCCCGCCGAAGCTACAGACGCTGGAGTCTGCCGTCCAATTGTCCTATCCAACCGAGAGGTAGAACAAACATGGCCCAACCCCACGCACAGGATAACGACTGGGACGACCCCAGTTTCCTCCGCCTGTTTCTAACCACGCTAGCTGGCACGGTGATCCAGGTTCAGGTACCAGTCAGCATACACCATACGTGGGAGATGTTGGAAGAATACCTCGTAGAGCACCTGCCGCTGGTTAGCTTCATAGATACCTTTGGCTGTGAGCTCACCTTGTTTGACGCAGACACCCATATGGCACTGCAGGACCCCATACAAGAGGATCTATGGTGGAACACCCAATTTTGTCTGGTAGTACACGAGTGTTTCCTGACAGCTGAAAACAACAAAAAACTTCAGGGGCTCGACTACGAAGACTGCCCGAAGGCAATTAGAGTCCCTGCCACCGACTCAGGGATACTCGAGGCCAAAGCTTTCCACTCAACTGCGCGCGTCCGACATGTCAGTCTTGACGTAGGGTTTCGCACGGTCAGTCCACAAGTATGGAGATACTGTCATTCCCTTCGCATCGTCAAGCTGCCGGACACAGTAGTAGCCATAGGGATGCTACTCCCTGCAAACAGTCGAAATGCCAGGGTGTGTCGAGCTAGGAGTCCGCTTATTCTCAGAGTGCTGTGCGCTGGAGCGTGTTGGGAACATCATAGATGGAATTTGTTATCTTGCAATAGGAGCTATCATTGGGCAATATGCCTTTGAGGAATGTGGTTGATAGTGCTACGCTAGCCACCCCACAGGCTGGAGTCCCGCAGGGAAGCTTCTATGCTAGTGGCATTCGGCAATTGGAGTTAGGCGGTGATGCATGCCACATTGGCCATCGGGCGTTTGAGAGCTGTAAATTGCTCACCCTGGTGGACATCTCGAACACGGGAATCCACACCCTGCACACGCACACGTTCTTGCAATGCCACAGTTTGGAAACAATCAAACTGCCATTCTGCCTGCGTGAGATCCGAGCAGAAGTCTTCGCAGGTTGCAGAGCCCTGGCTAGCCTGATGCTTCCGGGCGGCATTCGCTACATAGGGTGTAGGGCTTTTGGCAACTGTACTGAGCTTTCTCACCTGGGGTATGCTAGGAATAAGTCAGAGGCATGGCGATACCCCTACGCCGCCAACAATGCCTTCGAAGAGTGTGCCAAGCTAGCCACCCCAAAGTGGCTTCACTACATCCCACCAAAGGACAGCGATTGGATTGCCCCCTGCAATTGACCTACAACTAACCTTGACTACCTGAACAACTACCCAAACAACAACCACCGGTGTTGTGCATGGCCAGAGAGAGCAAGGGCGGCTGCCCAAGTAGCTGCCCCTTTACATAGCCAGGCTCAAATCCCAAGTAGAAGCGGTGCAGGGCGCCGCAATGTTTGGTGATACCGTGTCGCAAACGAGTTCACTGGTCAGCAATGAGCGCCAGCTGGTGTTGCAACTTCTGTTGACAACCCTATCTGGAGAGGAACTCCAAGTTATCATCGATCTCCAAGAGTTTGATCGACTAGACGAGTTCGAAACTGCTGTCCTTCAGCAGCTCCCGGCCATTGGAGGACATAGCACCTTTGGGAGCGAGCTTGCTTTCGTCCACAGAGACACAGGCCAAATCCTGACGAATCCCATCTGGGACACCCTCAGGGACTGTAACCGTTTTCACCTAGTTGTCCGACAATGCTTTAGTCAGGCTGAACACAAAGGGCAACTGAGGAGGATTGCTAAAGCAATCCGAGTACCGCCCACTCGCATGGGCAGGTGCTCCCCCACGCCTTTACACACATGATCGATGTGAGACATGTGCAAGTAGAAGCCGGAATACACACCATTGGCGAGGCAGCCTGGCAGCACTGCAATAGGCTGTTAATAGTTCACCTACCCAGTACAGTAGTCTGCCTGAAAGATGGCGTCTTCCGTCGAAGTTATGTACTCCACACCGTCACTGCCCCAGAGTGCAGATACTTTGGGAGCTGGGTGTTCGAGGAATGCTACGCTCTAGCACAAGTTGGGGACCAAAGCCAAACAGGCAATCAGCTGGCGCCGCAAGCGCGGTTCCATACCCGAGCCTTCGAAAAACGCCGCACTCAATTTTGAGAGAACCGAACATGATCCGCGTGATGTGCATCGGTTCATACCCGAGGGTTGCTTCTTGGAGGCAGGACTAGAGTCGCTAACTCTGCCGGCAGACTTTAACTGGATGGGGCCAGCTGCATTTGAACACTGCATAAGGTTGCAGGCAGTGGACATTTCGCAGACTGAAATCAGTGAAATTCTAGGGGGCACCTTCGCACATTGCTCTCAGCTGCAGCAGCTCAAACTAGCCAAAACGGTGAGACGCATTGGGCGAGACGCCCTCCTGAATTGCACCTCTTTGGGCGTGCTACATACCCTACCCGCTTTGCTATACATTCACAAACGAGCCTTTGCAGGATGTACGCAGCTGCGCAAGCTCGTCAGGGTGGGCAAGAAGGGAACCTGGAGAGGCACCTATGCAGAACTTGCACTCCCAACATGGATTCGGCTCCTCCCCAAGCCAACCGATGGCCAAGAAGAGTGGGCGGATTTCATGAGAAGCTGTGCAGAAGCGAATCTCAGCTAAGCCGCGCGTCCGTGACTGATGCACGTACATGGGTCGGAAGAAAGGGATTCCTAGAGTAGCTCGGCTAATCAGATCCATGCTTGCTTGCAGGTTCTGAGCAAGCCATGTGCCTGCCACTTGACATGCTGACTTCGCTACCTTTACTGAGTAGATAGACAGTGCCAAGGCTGCCTCCCAAGAGGTGGTCAGGGAGGAGTACAGTGTACAGTCCCTAGTACTAGGAATAGCGGCGTTTCACTGTTTCACGTAGATTATGGGGCATGCATGTCTTTCTGAAGCCAAGAGCACTTGTGTGTCAATGCGAAGATGCTGAACCTGCGGGGGCTGGTCAACAGAGTCTTCTCTGCAACGCTCCTCGAGTGTAATGCAATGTCACGTCAAAGTCATGCAATGTCATGCAATGTCATACAGCTTCGTAACAGTCGCTCCCGATCGCCAGTTTGGAACTGCTGTCATGGAGCACACTCTCGTCACCTCCCCCCTTCGGGGGGGAGGAGAGAGCTGGGGAGCACTACTGTGTGCCTTCTTTCATCCTTTACCTTGCTCTCTGCAGGCCACGATTTTCGTAAGCTTGACCAACGACTCCAATGAGCAATGCTCTCCCACGACATGCCCTTAGTGCAGTGGCGCCCGTGCTCGGCCAACTGTGCACTTTGCAAATGTCCTTGGGATTTTGAATACGGTGAGTCCCTCACTACAGTGACTATCCATCGCCTTTGTACTCTGAAATATAGTTAGGCAAACACTCAAGCAACGGCAACAAGCTGGAAGAAACCTGCCACCGACTGAAGGAGTCATATGCCAGACTGAGTAGGCCGGCAAGGAGCAAACCAAATCTGTCATAGGCTGAGTCGCGCTCTTAGATATAAGTTATGATTCGCCTCTGCACTGAGCTTTGATTGAAATGCTCCTCACACCTGCATACTTTTGAGCACACCGTTGATTGAATTGCCTGCGCCGAAATAGTTGCAATTGTACTCACTGCCCAATGAACAGGAAGTTTGCTACCTGCTGATCCTCATGAACTGAGTGCAGACAGAAATATGAATTCAATGCCCCGTCTCACCCTCCGTTCTAGGTGGTTACTTCAGTTTTCACAGTCCTGATGAGATATGAGCCGGTCTTGGTTCTGTTGGGGTCTGGGTTTGGTTGTTTGTTTGGTGTTTGGGTGTTTTGGTTGCTGTGCTTTGTTCTTTCCCTGGCTCGTATCTTCTCAGCTATCTCATCGAATTCAATCAAGGTGACTTGTGCCTCTCGGCACACATAGCGCCCGTACCCGTGCAAAAAAAAAATTACCTTTGTCTCGCAGCTCGACTGCTGTGTCGGCCACTGACTGCCTCGCAATCCTTTATTTGTCTCCCAGCTCTGGGCTTCATGTCGCTTGGAATCCTTTAATTACATTTGTCTCCCTGTTTCTACACTTGTCTCCTGGCTCTGGACTGCTGTGTCTGCCTCTGCCTTGCAATCCTTTGTCTCCCAGCTCTGGACGTCGCAAACTGTAGTTGCAGAGTGTTCCGATGTTGAAAAACACAAACTGTTTGGGGTCTACGGTGGTGTAATTTTTTAATGTTTTCTTTGCGTTTTGATCTTGCTCACCGGAGGTGATCAGATAGTCACTTGACGTTTCAGGAAATCCTTTTCCGGGTGTCTCATTTCGAAGCTCCGCTATTTTCGCATCAAGTTGGGTGGGAGTGGCGGGTCCTTCTTCGCAAAGTGAAGATAAGTGGCGAAAAGGCCATCGGGGGTAGGTAGCTAGTCTAGTTGCCATGGATATTAATTTAGAGGAGGTGTCATTGGATGAGGACTTGAGTGCTGATGAGCAGTTGCCAGAACTTGAGCCATTACATCTGGAAGAGAGTTTTTCTTTCATGAACGATGTTCTTCAACGTGATCTTGAGCTGCCAGGTGAGCCCGTTTTCGAGCCAGGAACAGCTTCTGACCAGGGTCCTGTTCAGGAAGAAGGTGGAGATGGAGACGGTGGGCAAATTGAGGCTGAAGTTGACCATGCCTGCACCTCGGAAGGTACAAACAACATTGAAATTAATCGACTGGATTGGAACATGATCGTGACCAGTTCGTTCGAACAATACAAACAAGTTGACCCTGCTTTGAAGTTGCCCTGGGAAAATTCAGCTATGCACGGTTTGTTCAATCAAAGCCTGGCACTCGGTCTGCCCAGAGTTCATGGTGTAATTCCACAACTTCCTGACCTTGTCGAAGAAAAGCTGACTCCTCCAACTCTTGGAGGGGAGATTGCTGAATGTGGAGGTGCTGCGTATTTGCGAGCAGTTAGCGACATCAAGGATTTGGATTACATTGAAAACAAAAATTTGCAGACTGAGCTTGCTTGTTCCAAGTGGATGGATATCCTTTCCATTGACTGGCAGGGCTCATCAATTGGGAAACAGGTGTGCCTGGATCTGAGAGCTGACCCAAGTGGAGGCGATGCGGCAGAGACCGTCAGGGCTGCGTTTGGCACCAAGAGCCATTCAACACTACAGAAACGTGCAAATGCGTTGAAACGATACATCTTGTGGCACAGGGATTTCTATTGCGATGACCTGCAAGCAGGCAATGTGTTTCCCTTAAGAGAAATTCATGTGTGGGACTTCTTCAAACACTTGAGAGAGATCCGCATAGTTGGCCTGAAGGGATACACGGCACCTGCAACATTCCTTGAGACAGTGAGGTTTTGCAAGTTCACCATTGACCTAGCAGGAGCTGATGACATTTTGACATCAAGACGTCTTCAAGGCTTTGCAGCGCTTGAGAAGCGGGCCAAGGGACCAACAAAGCAAGCCCCGCCCTTGGAATTGGAGCATCTACAACGGCTGCATGGAATCTTGCAAAGTGATGCTAACATTGTTGATAGGATTGGAGCTGGCTGCATGCTCATTTGCATCTATGGCAGGGCCCGGTGGAGCGACTTGAGGTACATTGATCATATCGAGGTGGAATCGAGGCGCAACGGATGTTTTGTCTTGTACACCCGTGAACACAAGACTTCAAGCATTGGTGATAGGCGTGAACAGTACCTGCCTCTGGTAGTGCCATGGGAGGGTGTCACAAACGACAACTGGCTCGACACTTTCCTTAACCTCTACCTGGAGGCAGGGTTGGACATACAGAAGACTCCACTGGGCCCTTTGATGCCGGCGCCGAAGACTGGGGGGGGCTTTTGTGCTCGCCCCCTGAGCACCCCGGAGGCATCCAAATGGTTGCGAGAATTACTGCATGGAACAAAGGATTGTGGCAGCATCAGGGCGCATTCAATGAAGGCTACATTGCTGTCGTGGTGCGCCCGGGCTGGCATGGACAAGGAGATACGTGCAGTGTTAGGTCACCATTGCAGTGCATTGACTGGATCGGACGTCGTGTACTCGCGCAACCTGCAGGTTCGACCGGTTCGAAAACTCCAGATGTTGCTGCGACTCATTCGCATAGGAATGGGACTTGAGGACATTGCTGACCAAGGGCAGATTTCATCTGTCACCCCTGCAGGTAGGACGCCCGCACCTCAGTTGGGAGTCCATGGGACAGCTGCCATGACACCTGTCTTGCCGGTACGGAAGGAGGCATGTGACGCAGTGAGCCAGGCGGTTGAGTCTGCAAACAATCAGGAGGATTTGTTGGAGGTGAAGGAAGAGACTCTGACTGAGGCAGGGTTGAACGAAGCGGCACATGGTTTGACACTTTTTCCCGCTTCCATTGTTGACTTGGGAGTCATCGAGATAGACAGCTCTTCGGGTAGTGACAGTGAAAGCGACACAAGCACGTCGAGCTTGGATGAACCGCTGAACCGCTCTGAAGGAGTTGACCCCGTTTTTGAGGAAATTGTCCCCGAAGGCCTTTGCTATTACAAGCACTTGAAGAGCCAGCGAGTGCATAGCTCAGTGATTGATTCGACCATGACAAAATGCAAGTTGAGGCTAAACTCAAACTATAAACCGTTAGACCGTTTGTTGCATTTCAAGTTTCCAAAGTGTTTGCATTGCTTCCCAAAGGATCCTGACAGAGTCAGGACCAGGGAAGAGGCGGTGGCAGCTTTTGATGCGGCCATTGAGAGGGTTCGAAAGGCCAGGCGACAGCTTGACAAGTGACTAAGGTTTCTAATTATGGATAATGCCTCTTGCACGACCAAGTTTCGCCGGCACTACGGTTAGTAGCGTGCTGCATGGTTCATGTCTAACCACACTTTGTCACAAACTCAAACGGAGGTTTCATTGAACGAGCCTGTTTAAGCGTCCTGGGCCTTTCTGTAGGAAAGCGGATTAGTCTGAGATCCCAAAGGGGAAAAGCCGTGATGGCTTCAGGGCTGAACTCTCGAGAGTACACTGTGCCAGAAGTGGTCTAAAACCTTTGGGCGAAGCGCCATGACAAGCGTTAATTTTGCCAAAGTGGCTTCAAGTGTTGCAGAAAGCTGCATGGGTGAAGTACCCACAAGATTGTGCGAAGTGCACTGTATGGCTCAAAGGAGCGGGCAGAAGCGACAAGGTTCCACGTGGTCATTAGAGAACTGCAAAACTCTTGTTTACAGATGTCACTCACACTTTTGCTTGCTGTGTCTTGTTTACTTCAAACGTTTACACGAAACGTGACCGACAAGCACGCTTCTTGTGGAACTGTCAATGTTCATTTGCTGTTCATAAGATTTCACTTTCAGTTGTGAGTCTTGCGCCCGTGGAATGACGACAGTGGTTGACAGCAGTGCACACTTTAATGCACGGTTGGCAGAGAGCGGCCTCACTCAGACTGTCATTGACAGCATTTGTGCTGCTGGAGTTGACACATTATCGAGACTAGCATTTGCTGTCGGACAGCCAAACCAACCTTTGAGCAACGATGAGGTGGCCAATTTTCTCCAAAGTGCACTGGGCAGAGCGCCAAGCCTGCTTGAAACAGCCACCATCAAACGTGTGGCATTTGAAGCCCAGACCTATCTGGTCGCAAGCCTGCGGCAGAGCCTTGAACAGACAGATGAAAGCATACCCAGGAAGATCGCCTTTGCTGAGCGAAATGCCCGCATGAATACAATCAAAACGGCCTTGGCTGGAATCAACATCCAAGGCGAGCTGGAGCCGGCGCACCTAGTCCTGGACAAGGCTTGTGCATTGTACGAGAAGAACATTGTATCCTATCTTGAGCCTTCATCATGCGTGAGCAGAACACACGAGGTGCAAGGGACAAAGCAGACGAGAGAACTCAGTCTGGAGAAAGGCTCACTGGTGCTCAAACACCAGGAGAATTTGAGCAGCCCAACCGACAGTGAGATCAAGTTTCATAATGCCATGATGCGACGAGGAATCAGCTTGCAGTTCGCCCGAATCATGTCTCACGCCCAGCATATGGAGTGGAGCTCCTTTCTGTTTGAAGCCATTCACAGAGACCCACCGCCGGGTTACAGCAGACCATCTCTTGCCCAACTGCTGCAATGTGACAGGGCAGCATGGACGAGGTTGGCAAGCTCTTTGCCAAGTATCAGGCAAGACGACACAGGGCGATATCCTTTTGGGGAAGCATTGTTGAACCTTCGGCATGATCCATACATTGTTCTTTACTTGGCACCTTTGGCCAAGGCGCAGAGTGCACATAGCGATTCCTCAGGCCGAAGACCAACCCCGTATGGTGGTCCTTGGCAGGACAGAGGTGGCAAGGGCAAAGGAAAGAGCAAGAAGGGCATGGGCAAAGGCTCCAAGGGTTCACCGCCTATGCCAAAAGAGTTGCATGGCAAGTGGCACAAGAACTCACAGGGAGACCCGATTTGCTTTGCCTACAACACCAGTCAGGGCTGCCAGGAGAAGAACATCAAGCCCGGAGAACGCTGTCGGAAAGGGCTTCACATTTGCGCAGAGCCCCGTTGTCAACAAGCCCATGCTCTCCATGAGCATGGAAAAAAGTGAAAGCGAGTCAGCTTAGTCCCACGTGATTGGACCAGCACACACGTGGGGCAGACATGGATGCTGGAAGTTTTTGCGGGGTCAGCTATCTTGTGTTCTATTGCAAAGCAACTTGGAATGCAGGGGAGCCTAGCAGTGGACAAAGTTCAGAAGAAAGGAGCACGGGCCAGTGTGATCCGACTGGATCTCACACGAAGTGTGGATTGCATGTTGCTTGACCAGTGGCTCGAATCCGATTTGTTGATCTGGGTCCATATTGCACCCGTATGCGGCACTGCATCACGGGCCAGGGAAATCCAACGACATCCCTCGGACCCGAAACCTCTGCGCAGTGGTGATTACCCAGACGGCCTGCCCGGTCTGCAAGGGTCTGAGTTGTGCAGAGTTCGCATTGCCAACCACCTTTTTCAGTATGCCTTTGACCTTTTTGCAAAAGCAACAAAGAAAGGCATTTTCGTCACCATGGAGAACCCGAGAAACTCCTACATGTGGAGCACCAGCTTCTTCATTGCTTTGTGGAAAGACTTTCATTTGTTTTGCGCTGATTTTCAGGTGTGCACGTACGGCGGAGCCAGAGCCAAGTGGACACGTTTTGTAGCAAATTTTCCTGACATACAAAAGCTCAGCATCGAATGCGATCACAGCCACGAGCATGCAGCGTGGCGTTTTGCCACAGGGCCTGACGGCCAGCGAGTCTGGGCCACCAGCCTGGAAAGTCAATATCCTCGAAAATTATGCATAGCCGTCACCCAGATTGTCTTGGAGATTGCAGAAGCCCAGGGGCTTCAGTTGCTCGAGAGATCCATGCAAGACCTCCAAGGCCACCCCTTGCTTCAAAGCCAGCAGGCAACCATTTCCGTTGGAGGCCAACCATACAAGCGTAAGATTCCCCCTTTGGTCCCTGATTTTGATGCTGTTGTCACAGCCTTTGTTGCTGAACCAGCGGAGGTGCCATTTTCACACCTCTCTCGCATTGACAAACCCTTGCAGTTGATGTCACCTGCTTGTCAACCAATAGAAATTCCGGCCAAGTCACGACTTCTCCGGTTCTTCACCTCCTCTGAATCTTCTTCACGGGGGAGGGTGCAGCATTCAGAGTCGTCTTCAACTGATGGGATGACAGGAGATCATCATGCTGATTTTCCGTTCAGGGCAGTTTTTGGCCTGCCCTGGACGCCAGAGAGTTTCATCCAAAAAGCCTGCAAGATGGGTCATCCTGCAGTTAGTGACATGGGCATTCCGGAAGATCTGGACATGGCTTTGGACAAGCATATGGTCTGGTCGGACCAGCAGTTGGTCAAATACCGTGCGGATTGGTGCAGACAGTGGCTCAAAAGGGCCAGTGAACTGGAGCAGGCGGAGAAGCAAGACAGAATGGCCAGATCGGAGCATGTTCAAGCTAACACTGCTAACAAGCGGCTTCTGTTAACTCAAGAGATTTTGGAGAGCATTCAATACGAAGACATTGAAGCTTTGAAGTTTTTGAGAGAGGGAGCCACGCTTGCTGGCGAAATTGAAAAGTGTGGAGTCTTTGAGCAGCAGTTCAAGCCGTGTTTGATGACAGTTGAGCAGCTGGAAAATGGGGCCTCGAAAAGGAACCAGGCTGTCCTTGCCATGACCACGTCTTCTGGGGATGATGAGCTTGACAGACGTATGTTGCTTGAGACCCAGGAAGAAATCGACAGAGGTTGGGCGAAAGGCCCCTTTGCACTTAGCGATCTGCCCCCCGGGTCAGTGGTATCCCGGAGGTTTCCTTTGTCTCAGGCCAACAAAACCAGGATGATTGACGATTTTTCAATCAGTGGGGTGAACGACTCTTGCATCACACATTGCAAAATCAACCTGCATATGATTGACACCTTAGGAGCTGTTGTAAGGAAGTTCTTCAAGGGGTGTAAGTCCTCAGGCCTGGATAGTCAACTGTTGGGCAAGACGTTCGACCTGAAGAGTGCCTACAGACAAGTTCCAATTTGCACAGAGCACCTCAAATATGCCTTTTTCAGTGTCTACAACTGCGCAAAAGGGGCTGCTGAGATCTACCAGTTGGTCACCTTACCTTTTGGAGCAACTCATTCTGTGTACTGCTTCCTGCGCCTGGCAAGGATGCTGCATTCCATAGCAGCCCGCGGACTTTACTTGATCAACACAAACTTCTACGATGATTTCGTGATCCTTTCGCGGCCGGATGCTGCATCTTCGGCCAGCCATAGCATGGAACTTTTGTTTCTGCTTACCGGATGGCACTACGCCAAAGAGGGGAAAAAGGCGACGCAGTTTGCCCACATCTGCCGGGCGCTTGGGGTGGAATTCGATTTCAGCAGATCCGAAGAAAGGCTGATGGCTGTGGCAAACACAGCCCAACGGAAGCAAGACCTGATAACCTCCATCACGGACATTCTGCAAACAGGGACACTAGCAAAGCACGAGGCCCTTGTTTTGAGAGGCCGACTGGGTTTCGCAGACTCCTTCATGCACGGTAGGCTGGGGAAGTTGATTTTGAAGAAACTCATCGACCATGCATACTCCCGCCAGAAGGAACTCGAGCCTGACACTGTACATGCGCTTCGGGCGATGAAAGCTCGCTTGGAGTCTGATGTGCCAATACTCGTTTCGGAATGCACCTTGGAACAGTGGTTTGTGTACACTGACGCAGCGTACAGCTCTGAAACACGAACTGGTGGTATCGGGGCCGTACTTGTTGACCAGGAAGCAAACTGCTGTGAATGGTTCGGTTTCCCTTTGAACTCTGGTGATTGTGACACTTTTGGAGCTGCATTGAAGGATACTATAATTTACGAGCTTGAACTTGCAGCGGCTGTGGTAGCACTCGCCTTCTGGAGAAACAGACTGAAAGGTAACCTCGCCGTTTGGTTTGGCGATAATGACAGTGTTCGCTTTGCTTTGATACGAGCCTGTGGGACTGGGCCTTGGGCCGAAGCTTTGCTGGAATACCACTTGACATTAGAAGCCACTTGCAACACCAAGGCCTGGTTCGCAAGAGTGGCCACTGAGGCCAACCTCAGCGACTATCCATCCAGACAGTGTGAACATCCTTTGTTGGTGGGGAGAAATGACCGGACCCGTAGAGCTTTGGCAGAGTTCGCTTCCTTGAATGATTTCGTTTCTGAACGTGTGAATGCCCACGGTGAAAGAAGGGGGACGAAAGACCTCGGCATCCCCCGTTCAAAAAGGGGCGCCTCAGAC